GGGAATATCGCTCAAGCATTCCCTAACAAGGGGGTGTAGAGAATAGACACGGCGAGTTTACCCACTCCACTTTCATGACGTATGTGGAAAGAAACACCAATGCGATTCTCGTTACGTCAACAACTGTTTTAAGTCGGCTTTCGATTTTTTTTAAATAATAAACAATTTAATAGTTATTGCCACAGACAAAATAGACTTGCCCTGTTCAGTATCGCTAACATGAAACCAGCGTGCCATAAATCGGGGAAGGGGGGCAAGGGATGTATACATTATATTATATATTATATAAGAGAAGATATGTATTCTGCCAGGCCCGTATTAAATAATTTCGTACGAGCGGTATCTTTTTAAAAAGTATTAAATTTATTTTGTTTTACATTTATATATTTGTAAGTACATAAATTCGTTATAGATTTTAAACACGAAAAAACGTAAAAATAATTAAATAAATTATGTATTTAAACAAATTTTAATGTAATCCTTAATAAAAAAAATAGAATAAATTTTAAATTCTCTAATAAAAAAAAGGCAAATTAAGCTCTTAAAATAAAAAAAATTAAAATTCTGAAAATTTTAAAATAAAAAACTGAACGAAACAGACCAATTTCGCTAAAAAGTCAGAATAAATAACTCCAAATGAAATAAATTTCCACTAAAAGTGAAAAAAGTATTATTTTAATATTATATTTTATTTAAAATATTCCTAGTGGATTATCAAAGAAATTCATCTAGTTTTACGCTCCAGAATGAACGACGTACGGCTCTGTGCAAAGGAGAGAACAACACAACATCTGTGTGCGCACGCAAGGTATTGACATGCAAAATTAATAAAATCGCTTAAAATTTATCTCGTAATTACTACTTACTGGAAAAAGGAAATTGGTTGGAATTGGCTGGAACTAGTTTCACTACGACTAGGACACACTTTGACAACACATTTACCCATAATGTTCAAAGAATTTTACATAAATAATATATCCTCACAGGTCAACTGCTCAAATATGAATGATGCGAACTGGAAAACAGGCACCCGTTCAGGCACCAGCCCGGCCGTATCATTTTCTCCCTAAGGCAAGTCTATTTTGTCTGTGGTTATTGCAATCTAATAAATAATAATAGCTATAGCTATTTATTAATATATATGTAAATATGGTGGGAGTTTCGAATCAAATATCAAATTATAATGTATTAAAAAACATTAATTATAGAGAAATGATAACATTCTAACACAACTTGACAACAAACTAACGGTAACTGGTTTAGTACTAGATTACAAAAAGGCATTTGACACAGTGAACCTTGACTTATTAATTTCAAAAATGAAAAATATGGGAGTAACTGGAAATTCTCTAAACATGTTCCAATCATATCTAACAAATCGACGCCAGTTTACAGTGGTAGGGGACCAATGCAGCACAATAGAGGAAATCAAATATGGTGTTCCTCAGGGGTCAATTCTGGGACCCTACATGTACTTACTTTACATTAATGATCTTAGCCTATATAAAATACACGGTAAAATGGTTATGTATGCAGATGACTTGGCAATTTTTTACAAGAACGAAAACAACAAAGACACAGAAAGTAAAATTAAACAAGACTTAAATACACTAAAAAAATGGACCAATTCTAATCAACTTACCCTAAATCATAAAAAATGTCACTTTATAAACTTTGAATCCAGAACAAGAGAACATCAAATTAACATCAAAATCAAGGAGCCACTAAAGGAAGTTAAAACAATCAAATACCTGGGACTACACATTGACAATAAACTAAACTGGAAGCAACACATACATAAACTAAATGAATCTCTCTCTTCATACATATACCTAATGAACAAAATAGCAAACACACTTCCTCTTAAACAAAGAATCTTAGTCTATGATTCCTATATTAAGAGTCAATTGGCATACCTCATACCTTTTTGGGCAACAGCAAACGAAACCGCTAAAAAATCGTTGCAGCGAAATCAAAATAAAATATTAAAGATTATGCACAAAATGGACAAATACATGCCTACTGAACAACTTTATAAGATCACCAAACAGCTAAATATCGAAGAGCTTAGACAACTAGAAACCCATAAATTAGTGCACAAGATCATAACAAATAAGATACTGGATGAAGAAGTAACATTTAGAAAAAGAGCGGACACACATGAACATAATACAAGAGGACGTGAACAAATAGACATAGAAAGAGCCAAAACAAAATATGGAGAAATGAAAATAAAACATCAAGGGTACAAACTATACAACAAATTACCAGAGAATATAAAAAACCTACCCGAGACGACTTTCAAAACCAACTTGAAGACTTTTATTTTGCACCAAAGAATATCTACTTAATATATTTACTTATTTATTATTTATCATATAAATCCAATATTATACATACTTATTTATTTATTATATTTATACTTATCTGATATTATCGCTACTGTGATATTTAGGATGTACTTTTTTAAATAAAAAATATCCAACAGCGACGTCACAATTTTGGGATTTATACAGAAGAAAAATAAAAGTCCGATTTTGTTTAAATTTAGGTATGTTAAATGACCTAAGATGTACCATTTTTTTGGATTTTAAAGATGCGTGCTTTTAAAAATATTTTTACGCAAATTGTATGCTCTTTTTCGTAGTAAAATAGATTAAAATGATATTTTCTCAAATTCTTTAAGAAAGATTTTTTTAAATACATGATTTTGAAGATCCGCAGGCTCAAAAGGCACTGGAAGAAACCGATTTCGGTCCAGAATGCAACGACATTTTAAAATATATCTTTGCAGATTTAATGGCATTAGCAAACTTAACTTTTAAATAAGAAACGCCAAGTCAATATGGCCATCCATTCGGTTGATAATTAATAAATTAAATGATGGATTCAGAAGTAAAAATAATAGTTCCAATTGGAAAATTTAAATGTTCCAATAATATTTGGTCAAACCAGAGACTTTAGTCAAACTAATCAAATAATAATTTTATCCTCATAATAAAAATGTGATAAAAATTGTTTTGTCAAATAATTTAAAAAAATACTATTAAAATATTTCATATATGTAATATTTGAACCGTAAGAATAATTTATCTATTTTGGTTTCATAATGACTTCATTATAACACCGCTTTTGGTTCTTTAATGAGGTACTTTATTCCACCCAAAATTTTGATTTTATAGGTTGGCTACTGGTAAAATACAATTTTGAATACCTATAGGTTATAATATTTTTATGATTTGTTTTCTAGTACTTACGAGACTTTTCGTGTAATAAATTTTGTTTAACACCAAAGAAAATCCTTTTTTCTTCTTTAACAGCCGCTTATTGTAAATACTTATTGTAAATTAACGACGCCATAGCGAAAGAATGTGATAATGTTTGAAAGGTTAATGACCTTTCAAACTTCAAACTTTGTTATCTATGATACCAACTATGTAAAGTAAAATTTAACCAAAAGGTATAAAATTAATTTGTTTTATGAAATGTTTGCAAAATAGATAAAATAGCATAAAGAACTCATGTCATAAGACCTTTTGTCGCACTTGTCCATTATAAAACTCGCTCCTTCGTCACATATCAGAGTGCGTGTCCGCGTGCTACAAAATGACGTCTTATGACATTAGTTCTTTAATATACTATTAAACCATTCAAATAATTTGTACTATTTTTGCGATTATTTTTAATTCAAATTGATTAAAAAAATACAAACAATTTAAAAAAAGAAATTAGAATTATTATTAAATTTAAATCACAATCATATCATAATCTGATAATGGTAGTATTTTTTAAAACAATCCGATTTTAAGGAATAATGCAAATGCTATTACATCTAAAGCAATTCTAACCTCATTAATAAATATACTAATTTACCTATAACATTTTTTAAGCCATTTTAATTGTTTTAATATGGCTAATTTGAAAAAACATTCTTTTAAGTTGACTTTTTTTGTTGCCTCCGGAAAAGACAAATCAAATTATGCATATATTAATAAGTAGATGCCAATGCATTTTACCTTTGAACCTTACAGGAAAAGAAGTTTAATACAAATTACATATTTAAAAAAATTGTTTCTATGTTTTTTTAATTTTAATTAATGTTAATTATATATATTAAAAATAAACAAATATATTTCTATAATTTAATAACCAAATTTTTACCACATAGGTAGTATATCTATAATAGGTAGGTATGTGTTAAAAAATATGTTCATTATATTACTAAAATATATTTATTTATTTTAATATGCAATAATGATCACCGTAAAAAGATTAACAAAACTTGGCCAGACTTGTGACCAAAACATGCCTTTACCAAAACGTTAATCAATTAGGGTTAGAATTACTTAAGTTGTTAATACAAACTTTGTACAAATAATTGGTCAAAAACTGGTCAATTAATAGAGCAGTCTGACTAAAGTATATGCCCTGTAATTTACTATCAGGGATAAAACTACAAGAGGTATATGAAGTGGTACATATTAGGGAAGTTGGACCAATTTATTTTACTATAAAGTCCGTCAAACTTATGGTAACCACAATTGGACCACGAAACAAAAATTTGAAGGGTTTGAGGGAATATGTGCAAGCCAAAAAGAACCACTTGTACAATTTTTTACCCACAAATAGTTTTTGATCTCTAACGCTAAAGTTTGGTTAAATTTATAGAAATGTCAACCCCTTCAGGGCAATTTAGAGCTAGTGTAGGAACAATTCGACTTATTTTGTTGCTTGGAACCTCCTTTAAAATCAGGTTTTTGGACTTGCCCTACTTTGGTTCTGAGGAACAGATATACGTATTTTATAACAATCAATTGTTGTGCTAATCAATTAATGTTGCACTTTCAAGGTGGTGAGTGACTTTTGGGACCACCTGTATACTAAATAGTGAAATAAATGATGACGACAACCAATTGGTATAAAGTCTTTAATAAAAGGATTTATTATGTCCAATTTCGGGAAGGATAAATACAAATTTTGATATGTAAGTATGTACGTACCCTGTATGTCAATGGTGGTCTTCCTCCCTCTAAAATACACTCTTTAACAGATTCATGCCCCTCAAAAGGTTGATGAAGCGTCAACAATTCATAAATAAACATGCCAAATGAGAAGCAATCCACTTTTTCAGTGTATTCTTCCTCTCCATTGTACTTCATTATTTCAGGTGCCATGAAACCTTCCGTGCCACCAAAACCTTTTGTTCCCGACGGTAACGTTAGTCGACTTATGCCGTAATCGGCCACTTTAATGTGAACCGTATGATCGGGATGATCCACAAACGGAGCAGGCATTTCCCAAACAAGAACATTTTCCGACTTGAGGTCTCTATAAATTATGTGCTGCCTATGAAGGTATTCTATAGCTTTTGCCACCTTAAAAAAATAATAGATCAGCATTTGTATCAATATTACATATATTACCTTATTAAATTACCTGTAAAATAATAGCTTGTAAGGTATAGGGCCCTACTTTGGCCCCCGACCGTCTATAATGCCTAAGCACCAGATCTAGGGCTCCTTGTGGGGCCAAGTCGAGTACCAGAGCTAAAGGACTGGTACAAACTCCAACAAAAGGCACAATATTTGGATGCCTTAATGATAAAAGAATGTTTAGTTCCTGTCTAGCTGTGCAGTACGCCTTACATGCATATTGCAAAGGGTCTCTATCCCATTTGCCTTGAGCCGCCTTAACAAAACATATTTAAAATTAAAATAAAAGTTAAACCAAGACATACCTTATATGCAATGACAGCAGATTGACTAGCATTAGGACCAGGTTGAACAGGTTGCAGCATTTTCATTGCAACATCAATTGTGTTATTAGAACCTCTCATTTTGCAACTGCCTTTGAAAACGAAACCAAATGCCCCTCTACCCAAAAGACGACCTTTTTTGATATTTTCAGGTTTAATTATATACCGTTCCCCCAAATCCAAAAATATAGCATCCGGAGCTACTCGCGACAAAGGTACGTCATCATGAGTCGGACAATTGACAGTTTTGCTTCCATAGGCTGCTAAAATGCACTCTTCCACCATCCACGAGTAAGAAATGTTCGATTGGATATTGGGATTGTCATTTTGAACTCCAGGGTGTCCTTCCATAGAGGGCATCCGACTGGAACCTGAAGAATCTGGACCCACCCCACTGTCACATTCTGAAGTATACGACTCCTGTGATTTACGTATTCGATAATGGTTATCAGGAAGCTCCTAAATTAAACAAAAACTTATACATTAACTTCTAAAATATGATACAAATTCAGTTTTATTTTATTTTTTTAATAATTTGTCAACTTTTCTTAGAAATATATTTAACAAAAAATTGATGCATTGTGCATTATATGTCATATTACCTACATTTTATCAAATTTTGCTATATCTTATAAAAGACATAAAAATATGAAGACATAAATTGCCTTGGGTATTTTGTATTTTGTAGCCTAAAGTTTGTTAAACAGATTTGACAAAGGGCGTCAACGTGGATGTAGGAGTTTCAGAAATACGCCCTTTAAACTACCCCGATATCAAACAAGTGAGTTTAAAGATTTTTATTACACACATAGGTCACTTTTGTGCTCCAAAAAACTTATAAAAATTGTCTGCCAATATATTCTATCGAAAGAATTCTTTATGGTGATTTAAAACACGAGTTTTTCCCTAGGTATCCGGAATACACTTATGCTTCTGGAATACCAGGCTCAATCATTCCCTCATTAACATCCAGAGACAAAGACCTGTAAAACTCCTTTTCACTGTGGTCACTTTGGCAAGGTGGTTTAACATAACTTCACTATTCAAAATACCCAGCTCTGGCAAAGCATACATACTAGACTAGTATCCTCAATAGACCATAGGATTATGCGGTACTCGAGAGGCATAAGTATATTTCGGGGACCTAGGGGAAACTCGTGGTTGCAAAACACTATAAAGGACATAGAAAATATTTTCAGACTTTTCTAATAAATTTTTGAATGGTTTTTGGAGTATAAGATTAACCCGTGTGTATTATAAAAAATCTTCACTCACTTTTTTGACGTGGGGGTAGTTTGAAGGGCGTATTTCTAAAACTATTGCACCCACGTTGACGCCCTTTGGCAATCTTGTTAAGCAAACTTTAGGCTACAATATAACGAAAGAAGAACTTTCCAGACTATTTTATTCAAATTTTATAGATCTTTAGAAAAGTGGTTCTTTAATTAAATATAAGTTTCTATAAATTTAAATAAACTTTATTAATATTTTTTATGGCAGTCGTAAACCTAAAACTAACCATATTGATTCCTCTCATGTTATATGCCCCATCTTGCTCAGCTTGCTGCATTTCCTCCATCAAATTTCTAGATTGATTAAAATCATTCGGGTTTAAGCTTTGATCCGAATCTAAAGATTTTGCCAGACACTGAGGACACGGAACCAACCTGGTAACTAAAAATTTTCCCTCTGAAGTATGGACAAATCTTGTACCTAGTGTGGGATACCAATCCTCTAAAAGGATATCAATATGGTCAACAGCCATGGCTAGAAGCTGAGCGGTACATTCTAAGGTACTGTTTATGATTAATTCATCTTTAATTTTAAGATCTGCTGCGTCCATAGAATCATTAAAAGCTGGCTTTACTACGAGGGATTCTACTGGAAAATGTATTTCAAGAACTGACGTGCTTTGAAGATCCACGTCACACCATACACCATCTTGTTTAAGCCTAAACCTTAAACGTAAGAAACGAATGTAATAATAAAAGAATATATCTATAGCATTGCTTACTTTAAATGTCTGTATTGGGCAGAGGAGTTTAGTAACACCTCTCTCATACGGAACAAAGTAATGTTGCCATATTTTAATTGTAAGCCAGTTTGCCACAATATCCATTCCGCCTTAAAGTCCAATATTTTGTTTAGGTAAACATCGTTGGCAACCTCTTTGGGCAACACGAAGAATGAACGAATAATGTCAATTATGGCATCGTCTGCCAGAATGCGCGACATCAATCGCGACCAAAATCCAGAAGGAAAATAGGACATAAGAAGTAAACGAGTTATTAATTTGTCCGAAGGTTGGCATTTTATTTGATAACGGGGTAATTCTTCAGGAGGTTCTAGAACAAAGCATACATAAGTATATACCATTACATTTAGTTTCTACTCTAAATACACTTACCACTAGTTTTGGAAGTTGAAGGGAGACTCATTTGGAATTTGCCCTGAGAACTGTCCCTATACAAGACGGATTTTGGCGAAACGGTAATTTTTTTGTTTCTTACAGCCCAACCACGAGAACGCAATGGCACTTTAATTTTGATGAGAGGTGGGTATTGGCCTGGATACATCATAGCCAACTGAAGGTCTTCTTCCGAGGGCAGCAACGAAGGTATCAGTAAGGTACGTGAGTCCCAAGTAAGAGCAACTTCAAATTTGTTTAATAGATTTACAATGTAACCTCTTGTATCTAAGTGACCTATATTGCTGGCTTTAAATATGTGTTTTAGATCATCGAGTTTCATCACCCCACAGCGCGCGAAGGGGTTAATTTCCCTTATAGTAACCACGTGCGCCAGCATGTCACACAACCACTGAGGATCTAAAAAATATAAATCTTTCAAAGTGGCGTCGTCGTAGTGTAAAAGGACACCATTGTCGTGTAAAAATAGTGTTGCTTGATGCAACTCGGCCCAGTCCCTGAACGTTTTGTTGTACCTTTGTTGCATTTCTGTCGTCACAATGGTTCTGTACTGATCTGCTGTTAATACTGGATCTAAACCATTCGCTCTCCTTTCCAAAGCTACGTAATTCACTATGTCTTCTAAAGCCAAGTAAGTCGCGGGTACTTTTTGTTCTAATAACAATTCTTTACTACCCGGAGGTCTCAGACTAAATACTGTGTCGTATATTAAGCTGCAAAGCAACTTAACGTTATGTCTCGATTTGCAACTAATTTCTATAGTGTCCAACACCCTGGGTAAGCCGCATTTTTCCGCGTCGACTATGTTAATAAATCTATCTCTAATTATTTGTTGATATTCTTCGGAAATGTTTGGACTGAATTCTTGAATTAGGTCGTAATGTGTGCCGACTATGATTACTGGCGAATTCGGCGCTCTAGCCTGTATATTAACAAGCCACTGCAGTATTTCGTTGATTCCTCTGTGGCCGTCTGTTATCTTCCACACCACCAAATATAAACTTCTTTTGGATAGGAAATACTGATGAGTTGCATAATACCTAACATTATATGGTTATAAAAATTTTAAAATTATTATTAAATTCTTACTCTTTTTGGCCACCAAAATCCCAAGTCCTAAACAATACTGGGCCGTGCGATTGTGATTTAAGTTTTTTCTCATACATCCAATCGCCTATGTCTACACCAACTGTCGACATATTTGTACCTCTTGAGGTTTTTACGTTTATATTTTTGTTTCCCATTCTTTTAGCCCAATGCTAAAAATATATATTAATGAACACTCTTGATAATATCAAATATCATATTATTATATAAACAATGTTTAGGGTGTTGTGAACTTTTAGGTACGTTACGCTTTTTTTTTGCAATAATTGACCCCCTTCCGTCAAAGTCTCACCACGTCTACAAGTATACTTGTATATATACACATACAAATTATTTTTCAACGCAAACTTGGCCCAGTAAAATAAAAGGCATTATGAATAACAATTTTTAATAAACAATAAATCTCAAAAAATATGTTTTATTTAAATTAGAATAAACATTAAAATAAATAAAAATTTCGTAAGAAACAATGTGTAAACGTAACGTGGTAGATCCCGCATTCCTCACAGTTGGTCTCAGGACCGATTTCAACAAAAAAATAACATTTTTCAAAAGGTTAAGTATGTACTAGTTATAATACCATTAAAATTAAAATCTTGTATATTGCCCTTTCCGAGAAATTTAATAAAATGGAATTTTTATTTAAAATGATAACCCTCAAATATAATATGTCAATCTTATATTTGGGCTCAGAAATCTAATTTTAAACCGACAGTTAATAATTGCAATATTTAATATCAATTACACTGTGCTCGAATCGAAAACTTTTTTTTTCTAACAAGCAGGACACCCAGGGGGATTACCTAATTCGAATACGCTAAATCCAATGGTACTATAGTCGCTTTCTTAGGTTAGCTCTTGTTTTCGAGATATTTTAGATTTAAACATTGTTGTTGAAAAAAAATAATTTGGTCGACTTTAAAGTGTTTTTTTATGATTTTTTTCTCAAAAAATATAGTTTTCATAATTTTTCATAAATACAGTATTAAACGTTCTAAAATGTTTGGAATACGGCCATGATTGCCAAGTCGCCTTTCTTATGTTTTTATCAATGATAACTTCTACCTCCAAGAATTATAATGCAAAAAGTAACATTGTTTATACACACGGTTTATATAAACAACGATCAGCGGCAACGGAGCTCACTTTAAATTTTAAATAATGACAGATTACGTGGTAACCATAGATACTGCAACTCACCCGTCACAGGTTTCCTGACACAAAATAATATTTAAAATTTTAGAAATTGTTAAATATCTCTAAAATTATTAACTTAAGGTATAGGAAATAGTAACATCAATCAAAGGTTTTTTTAATTTACTATTTGATTAGGTAAAAACATACTGGTTGTTACATTTAAAATAAAAAAGTTATTAACCTTTCAAGTTAGCCTAATTTGCCCTGGGTTTTCTTAGGTGATTTGTTAAAAAATGTTGACGGGCATTTGTCAAATTTTAACAAAAAAAAATTAATAACCCCTATACTTTAGGTATAGGACATGGTATAGTAATTTTAATCAGAATTTTATGTAGAATTTAAAAATGTAAATATACAGTGTGTCGCACTTAAGATGAAGACACCCCCATATTTTCGTTATTTGAAGGAATAAAGGTTTGAATTTTTTCACATTCATACATGTTGATGGGTCACATTTTTTAAGCTACTCAACTGAAATCTGAACTTTAAACTTGGCCTACTACAAATTCACAAACAGGGCCAGTTCTCGATATTTTGCTTCGCGATAGAGATATCGAAAAAAGTTATTGGAAAAAGTTGTTCAGAATATTATTCTAACCCAATATACCAATTTTTATAACAAAATTCGCATTTTTTATTTTTTTTATTTTGGTCCACACAAAATTACTACAAGTTCATTTTTTAGTTTGATAATAAGGGAGCCATGGAAAGTAATAATTTGATACTAACTAGTGTTTATGACCGTTTAATAAATAATTAAAACAATTTTTGGAAATTACAAATCAATTATAATTTATTAAATTAAGGAAATGGAATAAAACAATAATAAAACTAATAAAAATAAATAAATTAGAAATTAGAATTTTGCTATGAAAATCGGTATACGGGGTTAGAATAATATTCTGAACAACTTTTTATAATAATTTTTTTCGATATTTCTAACGCGAAGCAAAATATCGACAACTGGCCCCGTTTGTGAATTCATAGTAGGCCAAGTTTAAAGTTCAGATTTCAGTATCTTAAAAAATGTGTCTCACCAACATGTATGCATGTGAAAAAATTCAAATCTCTATTCCTTGAAATAGCGAAAATATGGGGGTGTCTTCATCTTAAATGCGACACACTGTATATGGGGTATTTTATTTAAAATGATGCCGGATAAACCGGAAGTAGCATTTTGCATAAAATATTTTAGAAAAATATACTTAAATGGATTATAAACGCTTTAAAAATTTTAAATCGATATCTTTTTTCGTTCTCCAGAAACTTCTAATGGACCACGTATGTAAAACACCCTGTATATATGTATATATATTAGGGTGGCGCAAAAAAACCGACTATTTTTTTTTGAGTCTCGAGTGAAAAAATGTTAGTTTTTGATGTTTTAAGAGGCCTCTCCAAAGGACAGCTCGAAATTTTTTTAAATTTCAAAAATCTTCAAAAATCGATTTTTTTTTATTTTTAAATTTTGAAAGGTCGCTCATAATTTTTTTTATTTATCAGTGCATTACTTTAGATTTTTTCTAGCGACCTTTTAATATTCACATTAAAACTCCATGCATTTTTTTTATTTAGTACAATAATCGATAAAAATACACCACGAGATGAACTAAAAATCAAGCACAATATAGAAAACATAATTTTTTTTCAATTTAATAATTTTATTTAATCAACTACAACATTTTGACGTTTTTTTTTGCGCCACCCTAATATACAATGTATAATACATAATATAATGTATATACAATATATAATGTATATATATATTTCATAAATTTAAATCCAAGAAATGATCTAAAAATGGAAAAATAATGTTTTTGTGGTTCTTGGGTCTACAATTTATATCTAAAATATCTCGAAAACAAGAGCTCACCTAAAAAAACGATTAACACCATTAAATTCAGCGTTCTATAATTAGGTAATCCCCCTTGGTGCCTCGCTTGTTAGATTTTTGTCAAGCACAGTGTTTTTAACTGTAGTTCTTAAATACTAAGAGAATCCAAAAGCTGGCTACAATGACAATTAACGCGTTTTTTTTTTGTTTTTTTACAAAGTTTGTATCTTATTAAATTTTAAAATTTGTGTTAGCCATAAAAAATTGTAAGAATATATTGCGATTGCGATTCTGATAATGGAAACAACTTTACAACCTGGTATTTCGAAAAAAACCGCAACATTCACCAAGCTTTCCATAAAGCTCTGGAAAAAATGGGCAACCTTAAATTCAAAGACCCTTTTTGATCTCACACAGCAAAAGCAAAAGTAACTAGGTAACAAGAATCTAGGCTGGGCTACTGAACGTGAATTGATATTATTTCACAACTTTAAAATGAATGTCAATAAAGATAATACTACTTAGGTATTATGAATAATTATTATTAATTTATTATAACGATTATTGCAAATACAAATTAAAATATTTTAAAAACAAAAAGAAAAGTTTGTTTTATAATTTTAAATTCCATTTCATAATGTTTAATTTAAAATAAACATGACCATTAAATTTAATTATCAAAATTAGTTAAAAACAAAATTAGTTAACAAACAAGTTGTTTGAAACAACTAAATACCTTTTATGTTAGTAGGTATATAAAATAAAACAAATTAAGAAACGTCGTTTTAAACTAACAATTTTTGGTTTAAAATAATGATATTTGTCACATTGTACGGAAACTTAAATCAACAGATTAGGCAACTACGCCTTGCTTAGCGATAAACACACTTAAGCAGTGAACACGTGGGCGCGAATGGCGATGTAAATACATAGTTAAAAGAGATCTATGTGCTAATATAAACAGAGACTCACTTCTGGTCGCCTTCTGCTGACACCCTCCTGTCGGAGTTGTTCTAGCAGACTGGTCTTGCCGATGCCCTGCACACCCACGATCATCAGCTTCATGCGCGCGTAGGGTCTCGCATCCTCCAGCACCGATTTCAGGTAGCCGATTATGTCCATCGTTTTGTACTTTTTGCTGTCGATCATCGACTTAAGCGGGTCCTGTAACGAGCAGCCGCGTGTGTTTAGGTTCCACAGCCGCGAAAGCAGGCCCATTTGCGGCGGCAGTTCGTTCACGTCTGAAAATAAACGCGCACAATGGGACAATAGAAAATATGCAGGTAAAAGTAATATAGTAATAATCGAAATAAACACCTATCGTTTTTATTTAATAACTTCCCGGACAACATTCGTGATATTCATACGAACATCATGTCGTGATTTTCACAAATTTTATTCATACTGATATCATACGGAAGTCACCGCGTAATAAATGAAAATCATACGAACGTCACGTCGTGATTTTCACAAATTTTATTCATACGGACATCATCCGGATGTCACTGCGTGAGAAATAAAAATCATGTCGTGATTTTTTATGCCATGGCTGTTTGCAATTGACCGATGGCACAAAAAAAATCATGTCGTGATTTTTTATGCCAAGGTTGTTTGGATAATCATTTTTGCGCCACGTTCGTAACCAAGAGAAAAATTATGTTAAATCAACAGTTTTTGCGGTTAAATACATTTAATATTTTCTTGGATTTAAATTAACTATATATAGTTTTTAATCCAAGAAAATATTGAATGTTAAACTGTTGATTCAATTGTTAACATACTTTTTCTTTCAATGTACGAATGTGTCGCAAAATTGAATATCCAAACACCGATGGCATAAAAAATCATGTCGTGGTTTTTTATGCCATTGGATATTTATTTTTGCGCCACATTCGTACATTGAGAGAAAAAGTATAAAGTAGAAACCGTCAATATATGAACGTGACTCATCCGACACATTCGTACGAAGCAATCTATCGAAGGTCACGGTCCAGTGCAGTCTCGTTTGTAAAAAAATTTGAGTGTAATGTTGGTTGCTATACTTATGATATATTTGCTTTTAAAGTTAAATAATTAACATCTAACATAATTAACATCTACGATAATTAAATAAACTGTAATTTTCTTAATAAATAAACTTTTCTTTTAACTTTAATGAAATATTCTATCATCTGATTACAGAACGTACACTTGTGGCGACATCTCTGATTTTAATAACAAATTTTTAGACCGACCCAACCTCACTTTCTTCCAATTAAATTCTTAGTATAGTCTGAAACACGTTTGGAATTGCATATTCCCCTCTCGTGAAACCGTCAAACTTGTTACAGAATATACTATTCTTTTAACTGTAAACGCAAATATTTCAGAATTGGTGACAAAAAACAAAAATGTTTACGCAGGTCAGGTACAAAGTGAAAGATATTTAAATTGTGTGGATATAAAAACAACTTGAGTTAGTTTCACGAAATTTATTAAATATTGACAATTGTTTCGCTACACAGTAGCTTCTTCAGAATGTATTAAACTAATACTAGTACAAAATTTATATGTATAATAAAAATATTTTTGTATTCTAGCCTAGAATTTCTAGGTAAGGATTTTTATACGACATCTACCTGTGTTACATAATATAAACCACTGCCACTACAACGTTTAAAACGATTATTAATCCGTAAACACACAGTAGAAACAAGATATGCAAAAACAAAGATCATATGACATATAAAAACAAATGGCCGACGGTAAAGTTGGTTGCCTTACTATGTAATAAAATAAAATAAATTCCTAAAACACGAACTCTACTGACTTCCAATAAAATTAAGTAACAAGCTAGGACACAAGCGTCATATGTCCATCTTTGTCCAACACCTAGGCAGTTTTACATCACAGATGGCGCATTTTAGACCGGATGCTTAAAAACCTACGTGTGAGTACATTTACCGCTGCATCGAATGTACAAGACAAGTAAAACATTACTGCTAGCATGTCTGAGATATGTTCGGCACCCGATGAGTCACGTTCATATATTGACGGTTTCTACTGTACCTACATATATGTATATAAAATCAACAGTTTTTGTGGTTAAATACATTCAATATTTTTTTGGATTTAATTTACATCCAAGAAAATATTAAATGTATTTAACCGCAAAAACTGTTAATTTAATTGTTAACATACTTTTTCTTTCAATTTACGAATGTGGCGCAAAAATAAATATCGAAACATGTCGGTGCACCGATGGCATAAAAAATCACGACATGATTTTCATTTCTCACGCAGTGACATCGGGATGATGTCCGTATGAATAAAATTTGTGAAAATCACGACGTGACGTTCTTATGATTTTCATTTATCACGCGGTGACTTCCGTATGATATCAGTATGAATAAAATTTTTGAAAATCACAACATGATGTTCGTATGAATATCACGAATGTTGTCCCCGTTCAATTAAAAAAGATATTCCAATGTTTAACAAAACGTTCACGTTTTGTTAAACATTGGAATATCTTTTTTAATTGAACCCGGACAACATTCGTGATATTCAAACAACGTTTTATAAATTATAACGGTGTAATGTGAATAACAAACTAGGTTTTTAATTCGCAGTTCGCAGGGCTCATACGCATGCGCAAATTTTGCAAATATCACACCGTGAGTTCTACATGATATCACTGTGATGAAGCATGTGTATGCACTCAGGATATCACAGCGTGATAAAAAAATCACGTTGTGATATCATCATGACTTCACCAGGAAATCCCTATTGTTGTCCGGGTTATAAACTGCACAGAGGCGAATATACTCTTAAAATACTGGTAATTTAGAGCTATATTTTTTATGCAACCTATTTTGTTCTCCGATGCGCTGTGGCTTAAATATATCTAAAAAACCTCAACCATTTTTTTGGAAAATGGTTTTCTCCTTTTTTACCCCTTCTGCGCCATCTTTTTAACAAACATTTTCTCTTGAAATTTTGTAGCTTTTTTACTTTAAGTAAATTCCCAGCAAACACAAGTCTTATATATATACAGGGTGTCCCAGAACTCGCGCCACAGAGAAAAAGGGAACGTACCGAAAGTAATTTGAAACACATATTTAAAAATTCAAATTGTCCAACGCAAAGGATAAGGGAGATAAGAATAAAAAACGATAGCCAATCCCAATAGATCACCACAGGGAATTCTTTAAATTGCTAGTATACTTAGGTTGCATTGTTGATAATAAAAAATATGTAAAATATTTGGTCCACTGGAATCCAATTCATTGTAAAACTGCTTAGGTTAGGTTAGGTTATAAATTAAGTTATTATTGACAATGATGTCAATCTTTACTTTTGTCATTAATATTGTATTAGGTAATAAATTAAGTTATTATAAATAATGTTTCTCGATTTTTATGTAAGAATGTCATATTCTCGCACGCAAAATCGTTGAAGAATGAAGCTCATTCTTAAACGATTTTTGGTAACATTTAGTTTTTAAGTATTGGTACCCCCAAAATGTCAAACTGATTAATAACCTCAAATTCATTACTTTTATTGAAAATGAAGCCTTTATTATTGTTTTGTAATATAAAGTTTGCTCCAACAATGCATTTTAATGCAAAATTTTAAGTTTAATGTGTAAAAGTGCAGTTCAGGTTGTACTTGTGCAGGATAACAAATATTGTCATTTTGTGTTGCCAACTGACATTTTGCGAGAAAAATCCCCTAACTAACAACGACCACAAAACAATTAAAAAAACCTAAATAAAAGTTAAAATCGAGAAAATAGTATAAATCACACGTTGCAGAAGGCTATTCTCGCACTCATTCGTTCGTCCACTCGCTCCTTCGTCGCTCGAGGCCAAATTTCGAATTCGTGCGAGAATATGTGGCCTTCTGCAACTTGTACTTTAATATACTATTTCTCGATTTTTATGTAAGAATGTCATATTCTCGCACGCAAAATCGTTGAAGAATGAAGCTCATTCTTAAACGATTTTTGGTAACATTTAGTTTTTAAGTATTGGTACCCCCAAAATGTCAAACTGTTTAATAACCTCAAATTCATTACTTTTAGGATTATTTATAATAGCTTTGTTTGTTATCCTGCACTAGTGCAACCTAAACTACACTTTTATTGAAAATGAAGCCTTTATTATTGTTTTGTTATATTAAGTTTGCTCCAACAATGCATTTTAATGCAAAATTTTAAGTTTAATGTGAAAAAGTGCAGTTCAGGTTGAACTTGTGCAGGATAACAAATATTAACAAATAAATGAGCCAAACAGGTCAATCAAACTATATTTTATTGGAAATATTATATACCCACAGTACACAAAACACAAAACTACTATAAATTAATCACTAGGACAATAGTTATAAACTTTTATTGTAATGTTCGGTGTTGCAGTAAAACCTCCTGTGACATTTTTCACTGCTAAAAGTAAACACAATTGTTCAAAAATATCAGAAAACATTAAAAAATAATACAATACTTACACAAAACCCTATTATCCAGTTGACAAAAAGAGACAGATTATTAATATATAGTAAATAAAAATAAATCTACCTGTCCATGCAACTGTCATTTTGTGTTGCCAACTGACATTTTGCGAGAAAAATCCCCCAACTAACAACGACCACAAAACAATTAAAAAATCCTAAATAAAAGTTAAAATCGAGAAAATAGTATAAATCACACGTTGCAGAAGGCTATTCTCGCACTTATTCGTTCGTCCACTCGCTCCTTCGTCGCTCGAGGCCAAATTTCGAATTCGTGCGAGAATATGTGGTCTTCTGCAACTTGTACTTTAATATACTATTCCTTGATGATTATACCGAAATGATAACTATTTATGGGGAGCGTGGGCGCAAAAAAAGCTAAATAAAGTACAACTGGTTTGATTTTTTACTTTAAAACATTGGCAATCTGAAGTATCAGTCATAGATTAATAACCTCATTTTTTGAAAGCTTTTAACAACTTAGTAAATACAGTTGGCCAAAAGATTTTTAAATGTTTTTAAGACAACAATGTTCTATCGTCTCCTAGCAATTTTTAAAGCTCCTACGTTTAACCTAGGCGAGATGTCTCGGTATTGGCTGCCGCTTTTTTGCTCTCATTCGATTACACTATTACCTAGAAATTTTTTATTTTTAAATTTGGCATCTCCATTGCTATCGGCACGCCCCCTTTTTCTCTGTGGCGCGAGTTCTGGGACACCCTGTATATATATATATATATATATATATATATATATATATATATATATTATATAGGATTGGCCCAAGAACTGACCGCTGCGGGGTTGTTATATTTTCCACCACTATTGCTGCTGAGGCAGTACTGCTATTTTCTTGGTAAACATATTGATGTTTGTGATGTTATACACATATATATAATCTTTAACACCCCGTATCAGAAACTTTAGCATGCCACATTTGTACCTTTTATCTGCCATATCAGAACCTTTAGCGCGCCATATCAAAAAATTAAATGGTTCTTGTAAGTGCCTTTATTAACAGTTAATAAAGGCACTTACAAGAACCATTTCATTTTTTGATATGGCTCGCTAAAGGTTCTGATATGGCAGATTAAAGCCACGTGCCTTTAATGAACTAAAGGCCCTATAAAGGCTAACTCTAATGGAACTGTACATATTATGTCACGTTTACCTTTAATGGGCATGTAACGGCAGTTATTGCAATAACTAGTACATGAATTTTTAAAGTTTGAGATATATCAGCAGATTTTAACATAACTACTAATGTTTGTATGTGCATTTTTATTTAGTCCAAATTGGGTGTTTTGGTGGAAAAATAATTCTCAACTAATTTATAGTCTTAAATTGGGACACGTATGGTAAAATGACCAAAGGACTAACAATTTTCAAAAAATCTTTTGTAAGAAGAGTGTCAGGATGTTTCAAAAGCATTTAAGTAACATGTATTTCCCTCAAATATGTCACCTTGGTAGTTCTTAGAGACCAAATTCAGTGTTTTAGGCCATCTCAACGCTTGTTCTTTTCCCAGAAGTTTCACTAGTCCGTTCCAAAATACATAGCCAAAAGTGCCAAAGGTGATGGCTAACTAGATTTTTAAATTTACTCCTTGTTGGCAATTTAATGTAAGCTAATGTAACGCGTGAGCGTATACCTCAACTAAACATACATTACTTAGGGACTCAATTTATTTAAGGGTCATGATTTTCTTAAATACATAGTTTTTTTAATAGATAAACCATTAATAAACCGATTAATGTGCAAAAACATGCAAGTTTTTAAACAATTTGTAATTAAAAAAAAATTATATCTAGGCCAATGGTTGCGGTTGTTGAAGCATCATTTAATATAAATTTTTTCTTTAATTCTTTATTATAAATTTTATTTACCTAAAGGACTCAGTTTTAAAGAAATTCGAAAAAAATCTTAAATAAGTCACTAAATTACAGTTGGTATTTGAATTAACTTTCAAAAATTAAAAAAAAAAGGATCAACTACAATTTTGAAAAACATGTTTTTAAACTCTAGAGAGGGTCCTTATTCCGATAGCCCATTCAGTTTTTGGCGTCATTTTCATGTGACCTATGACTCATTCAGGTCCCCTGTTTGTGCGATCAACGGTTCTTAAGTTATTAAAACAAAAAATTAGGTTTTTAAGGATGGCGGGCCTTGGAGACGCGGGGGTTGTTGGGATACATCCGAAAACCAGAATATATTCTATTCAATTTATGCTCTTTCGATTAATAAAATAAAATTTCAAGCGGTATAAATGTTTTGGGCTTTAACTTTTTTTGATATTTCCCAATAATTATTTAAATTAATGTAAATTTTAAATAATTTTTAACATCCAATTAACATATTGTAGTGAGGTTAGCAGGTTTTCTACTGAACTGTTTGGTCATTTAAGTCGCGAATGTTTTTTAATCCGGCCGGATTTTTACTTGTTAATACGTCCATTTAATCTATACGTTTTTTTAAAATCAGCTAAGTAAAATTAAGTAAAAAGGATATTATTTCAAATTTAAGTTTATTTTGGTATTTAAAAATCAACTTTATTGTTACATATTAATAGCACGGTGCGGTAGTTTGACGATTTAAATCAACTTTAAATTAACCCATTTCTCTTTCTATACATAGATCCTATGTAACTTAAAGGATAATTTTGACCATAAATTTAAAAAATCTATCGAGCACTTTTTCTTATTAAGCAAAAACCCCGTATGTTGGACCCTTACAGTGGCGGCTGGTGGATTTTGGCACACCCATATCTCAGTTATTAGACATGGGACCCACATCAAATTTATATGAGTTTATAATGACATTATATAGACAAGTTCTGCGCAAGTAGAATTTAAATTAAAGTTTGCAAAAAAAAGTTAGTTTTTAAGTGCAACCCCCAGCCTCCTGCCCCTCCAAATTAAGATAATTTAAATTAAAGTGGTACAATATTTAATTCACTGAAGTTTATCGACAAATTTCAAATTTTATTAAAAAAATTCAAGAATTACAGGTTTTATACCATTTATAATTTTTTTAAATTTAGTAAAAGAAATAATAAAAATTATAAATGGTATAAAACCTGTAATTCTTAAATTTTTTAAATAAAATTTGAAATTTGTCGATAAACGGGTGGGCAAGGTAGACAATGTCCACCCAAAATAAAAGTTTTTTTATTCCACACTTAAGTTATTCTAATAAACATGTGAAATTATTTAAATCATATTTTGACCTCTACACGACATGATTTGATACATATGTAAGAAAATACGCAAAAGAGCTTAGGGTAGTAAAACTTAAATTTGTCTCGTTAACCAGAGATCTGGCCGGCAAATAGACCAAAATTTTGTTTACTGCAATAGGCCGCACGCGTCATTTTAATCATGAAGTTTTAATTTCGAAGCTTGCAAAGAGTGCTCTTTTTCTTCTGGGTTTTCTATGATTCTTTTATTGGGTTGAACCAATGCCTATGCGTTAAACTTTATTATTTAAATTATCCAGTCTTAAAAATGGGTGAAATAGAATATTTAAGTACCCGATTTTATACCAAACTTTTTTATCTAACCCTATAATTAATTGTCTGCCCATTCAAAAATTCCACTCTTCGCCACTGGTGATATGTAGTATTTATCTAAAGCTAAGCAGTTTAAAATCTCCTTGAGCACATCACATATAACATATAATATTTAGTCATATTTTTAATTAAAAGCAAACACTTTTTACTGTGTTTTTAAACTCTTTAATTAAACATAAAAGTACAAAAACGGCTTGGCTGTATGGACGTGTAACGAGTCATTTAAGAAGGGCAACGTCGTATCACTCGTTCGCGAGTCTTCGCGGGTACTATAATAGTACTACTATTATGCACATAAACACGTTCTCGCGATGTGCTTTTTTCGGATTTATCACTGCGCAAGGTCTGTCACGGCCATATAAATAGGGTTCATGGATCGGCGCGTCGAGCCGTTCCGTAATCTTTCGTCAAATAGCAAGTCGCATAAAATGATTTTGCCCTACCATAAGTAAAAACTTACCTAAATTTCCACTAATGTTCAACACCGACAAATTTCCCAACTCGTAAATATTGTAAGGTATCTCCTTAAGCAAATTGTTACTAACATCCAACATCGACAAATTCGGAAACATTAATCGAGCTTTGTTTGTCACCGGATTCTGAAAATAAGAATAAATAAATAAGCACCAAATACGTCCACTCAAGGAGTCAACGAGTCAAGTTTAAATGTTATGTGGCAAATAATGCATTATTTTTCGAATGCCTTAAGGTTTTAATATACACTATTAAAATAATAAGTAATGAGTTTAATTTTTATAACATTTTTTTTGTAATTTGTTGTTATGAGTATTCTAAGATTTTTAATTACAATTTTTTAAGTTATTGAGTAATGTACTCATTTTACATTACTCATCTTTTATTTTTAATGAGAAATGAATGATTATCAAAATCATTTTTAGTGAGTAAGATATTTTTATTGCATGACAAATTTTTTCAATTTTTGCACGGTTTGCAATAGATGGAAGTGTAATTGATCTTTTACAAAAAGCATGGACTTTGTGAGCGAAAATAATTTATAATTTAAAAGTAATCAATATTATTAGAAAAAATTGTTTATTTTTTATTTTAATAGTCACCTTTATTGAAGGAAAAGATTCAATTTTATGAAAATTACTAATCTTATCATTGAAAATAATTTGTAAAAACCAAGAATATTGATGTTTTAAGAAAATGTTTACGAACACCGGAATTAGAGAATAAAGAAAATACTGTGTAAGATCACCTCAACTGGACCCCCCATTTCCCACTTGATCCTCGAATTCAAATTAATATATTTTAAAATAAAGTATTCACTATCAATAATGAAACTCTGAAACAGTTTTTTAAAATTTTCACTTTAACAACAATTTTTTCTACAATAAAAATTTTGCAGACTTTTAATTAAAAAATAGATGACAGAAAAACTGTTAAATATATTTTAATGAAATTTTCAGAATTTATTGTTTAATATTCACATTTTAAAAAACAACCTAAAATTTAAAATTATTTATTTATAATCACATTTTTAATTAACTTTTAAATAAACAAACGAAAATTTTAAAAACTTCTCCCTCAAATTATAAATTTGTTTTTTTTTTTAGTTAAATGCATTGTACACTTTAGTTGAATATTCTGTAAGAAAATTCCACCGCCTGCTATCAGTTTAAGCAATATGAATTTATTTATCCCCGAGCGCGAGCGCTATCGGTATAGCGCGCTGCCGCGCGTCACAGACTCTGCATCCGCTCCAATCAGTATTAATGAATAATAAACTCTTTAACAATAAAAAAACAAGGTTATCTTACATTTTATGTAATAATTATAAAAAATAAATATAATGTTTGTTATTTATATTATATATAAATAAAGACTGTAAAAATTAACAAATAATTAAATAAAACATAAATGTCCCAGTTAATTTTTGTATTCTTTTTTTAATTATCTTAATTTGTTTTTTATGTATAAAGGTAAATAACAAATGAATTTTACAAGAAATTTTAGTTTATTTGTTAAATAGGTTAACACGTACTTACATCAGTTACTAAAAGAACTAAGAATTTTAATTTTGTAGATTTGCGTTTAACTATTTCATCAATTAATTAACGTTATCATTTTTATTAATATATATTATATTAATAGTGATTTATTAGGGGCCAGGTGAATAAATTCAGTTTGCCTTTTAAAAATTACCTACGTGATAATTTCAGAAAAAAATACTCATGACGCAAGCTCAGTTCAAGTTAATTGAATTTAAAAGAAAATCGGAGCTAATTATATTTAAAAAATGTCTTACTTTTCTGACGGAGCAGCTTCACCAGTGGCGTATTGTGAATTTTGGGTAAACCGATATCTCAGTTAGTAGACATGGCACCCACACCAAACTTATATAAGTTTTCAAAAAAAGTTAGTTTTCAGCACGCCTCACCAGCCCCCTGCCACCTCTAATTAAGATTATACAACATAAAGTGGTGCAATTCATAATTCACCAAATTTTATCGGCAAATTTCAAAATTTATTTTAAAAATCTAAGAATTACAGATTTCATACCATTTTAAATTTGAATTATTCTTTTAACTAAAATTTCAAAAAATTAAAAATGGTTTAACCTCCGTAAGTGGATTTTTAAAATAAATTTTAAAATTTGTCGATAAACTTTAGTGAATTATGAATACTTTAATTTGAATAATCTTAATTAGGGGTGGCAGGGGGCTGGTGAGCAGAGGTGAAAAACTAACTTTAAAAGTGTACAATGCATGTAACTGATAAAAAACAAGTTCATAATTTTCATTTCATTTAAAAGTTAATCAAAAACATGATAATAAATAAATAATTTAAAATTATAAATTATTTTTTAAAATGTGAATATTAAACAATAAATTCTGAAAATTTCATTAAAATACATCCAACGGTTTTTCTGTCGTCTATTTTTTAGTTAAAAGACCATAATTTTCATTGTAAAAAAATGATGTTAAAATGAAAATTAAAAAAAACTGATACAGGGTTTTATTATTGATAGTTACTACTTTATATTAAAATACTTATATTAATTTGATTTCCACCAAAAAATAACAACCAATAAAATTATTAAGAAAAAATAAAAAAGTAACATACTGCTGGGAAATTTGTTTCATTTAATTATTTTTCGTTTTTAAAGTCATTATTTCTGAATAAATCAAGTATTTTATCTATTTGTTATAATTATTACATTAAAATATCTTTATATTTTTATCTAAGTAATTAAAAATCTTTCACGGTTTTTCATCTATTTTTTAATCGAAAGTCTTCAAAATTTTCATTGTAAAAAAAATTGGTGTTAAATCGAAAGTTAAAAAAAACTGTTTTCGGGTTTCATTATTGATAGTTTCTGCTTTATATTAAAATATATTAATTTGAATTCCTCGATCAAGTGGGAAAGGGGGGGTCCACTTGAGGTGAGTACTTTCATAATGAAGTCAAAAATTGTTTTCTAACGGCAATGTTTCTCATTAAATTTTATTTTAATGATTAATGTATTTAAACTACATTACCATTAAAAAAAATGACGATTGCATTATTTTTTACATTAACATTTTTTCAACTCTGGTTTTTAGCATAAATTCAAAGCTTCTTTAGGCTGCCTAAATTAGGCATATACATAGAACCGCAAAAACAGCTATTTTAAAAAACTAAGAAAAAATGTGGAGCTAAGTATATTAAATTAAATTAAAAATTAACCTTTTCCATGTCTTCATCTTCAGTACTGCTAATGTCACCATCATCGTCTGTGGCAAGCTGTATGCGATTAAGCTGATTATCAGCCAAAATAAGAGTACGTAAATTGTCCAATTTTAAATGCCTTCTATGAGAACAAACAGAATGTAGGACCGTATTGCGCACGGATTGCCTATTTTGTCTCCTAACTGTAAATTTATTTAATTTAATAACTATACTTTGTGGGTATTAATTATAATTACCTGCTTCAGGGAGTTTTCCTTTGGAGGCCAAATTATTAGAGTAACAATTTAAATTGGCCAGCTCCATTTTATCTTGAGCCTCAACTTGCGGCAAACTTGGCCATACGGATATTTGATTGTGGCTCAGATCCAACTGTTTTAAAGAACTCGGGTAGCTGGTAATATGCGACATGGATCTCAGCGTGTTGAAAGCCATGTTCAAACGGGTGAGGTTTACGGCCAGACAAGGCAGTACGACGGGTATGCTGGTAAAAAGGTTGTGGGCAAGGTTTAGGGCGGACAGTTGGGATGATTTTTCCGATACGGATTCGTCATTGTGTAAAATTTGTTCGGTCACTTCTACGCTTTTACTCCATATGTGATGTTTACTCAATTCCATTTGTCTGGAAAACATAAAACATTAAAGTTAAGACTAAAATGTGGACAACACAAAACTTTTTAAAATATTCAGAATAGTTAGAATGATTTTTTATTGTATACGCAAATGTGGGTTTTTAAAAGTAAATAAAATTCAAAACGTGCAGTATTGTGTTCAAAATTTTAGATTTTATATAAAGGTAAATAGAGGCAGTGGCGGCTGGTAGATTTTATGTATACCAATATCTCAGTTATTAGACATGGGACCCACACCAAATTTATAATAGTTTATAATAAATTTTTATTATTTAATTTATTAAAATAAAAAAATATTTAAAATGGTATAAAACCTGTAATATTTGGATTTTTTAAATAAAATTTTAAATTAGTCGATAAATTATAGTAGATAATAAATTGCACCACTTTAATTTGAATTATCTTAAATAGGGGGGCCTGGAGGCGGGTGAGGCAACAGAAAAAACTAACTCTTTTTTCGCAAACTTCAATTAAAATTCTGTTTGCGCCGAACTTGTCTATTTAATGTCATTATAAACTATTATAAATTTGGTGTGGGTCCCATGTCTAATAACTGAAATATTGGTACACCCAAAATCCACCAGCCGCCACTGAATAGAGGTAAATCAGGTTAAAACGTGTCTAAAACTTCGTATGCATTATTTATTTATTTACCTGTAATCACGTTCTTTTTTCTTAAATCGAACAGCCTGGAATCCTTCGTCTAACCCAAGTAATTTTGAGTCAATTTCAAAATCGACCATATTTGTTTCAGTATCTGGATCTACAGAGTGACTCGATAACTGACTGTCGCTTGAACTGACGCTAAGCCTATCAAATTCTTCTTTTAGGACCAATTCGCTGGGAAGGTCTTTTAATAGATTAAAGGACGCGTTTAGTTCCTTTAGCTTGGGAGCCAGCCACATATTGTAAGGCAGCTCTTGCAGCTTGTTATTCGAAACAACCAAGGTAACCAACGCAGGTAACCTAAAAATGGCTTCGGGAATTTGATCCAGCCTGTTGTCCTGAATGTACAGTTCCTCTAAAACTGGACAAGCATAGTTTGGATCTTCCACGCTTTTGCTCCGTCTTCTTAGGTTTTTCTTCGTCGGACTTGCAACTGGCAACGGGAGTTTGTTTATTTTATTTTGCGCCATGTTTAAATATTTCAAACTGTACAGTTGAAACACTGTTAAAGGTACGGAGGTTAAGTTATTGTTGGATATATCCAAGCGAGTTATTGCATACAAAGCTATGTCGTAGCTCCTAGGATTTTGCTTTAATTTAGGGTTTAAATTGAGAGCTGCATCAGTGAGCCACTGCGTTTTAATTTGATTCAGGTTACATTTTTGATTATGCCAGTTAATCATTGTGGGTGTGTTGGGAAACAAAGTACTGTAAGTTAAGTTGGTAACGTTTGAGAAAATTGTGAATTGGGAGGAGTTCACGTTTTCAGTCATTGCCTTTTTGTTTATTTTGTATTCCGGATCTGGGTGCGCCTGTAAGGAATAAATATGTTAAACAATTGATTAAAGTTTAAATTGGGGGTTCGCAGCCCGACGACGATATGAAGCAAAATTGCCGTAACGAGAAAAAATATTGTTGAGCCTTTTATTGACTTAGTCAATCAATGTTTCAATCGTTTGAAACAATGACAATTATTTCTTAAAAATAAGCTTTATATCAAAGCTTAAAGTTGAGAGTGCTTCGTGCACTACAATTACAAGCTCCGTATCCGTGTCTTCGAAAGGTATGCTAGGCACGAGCACGTCGGCAGGATTTTGCTACCTGCATTCAGACCCTTTCACTTTAAACCCTTATTAGGGCGTTACTTATCCAACATCACAACAACTATAATAATGTGTTTTAAAAGAAAACATAAAAAGGGTCAATTTACACAATGTATTGAATTACCTTTTTGCATGAAACTTAAGTAGTTAAAACGATTTTTATTATTAAAAATGTATGTTCACCTTAATAGACAATAACTTTGGAATAAGTGTTTCGTCTTTATTTTCCACAGCAAAGGCCAGTGCTTTACAGTCGTCGTCTCGGGCGCCATGTTTTAACAATAAATCCACCACTGGTACATCGCGGTTTTTACAAGCTTCGACTAATCCACTGGACTGGCAGTAGTTTAAATCCTCTTCAACAGAACAATTAGCCAAACTCTAAAATTGCATAATAAATAAATTTATGTTTTCATGATTTTTGTAGTAGTTACATCATTTATGTCGTGGTAAGCCTTTATCACAGTATTGGCGTTTGCGCCCGACTTTAATAGAGCGAAAATAATGTCATAATTCTTTCCTTTTACTGCTGCATGTAGAGCAGTTTCTGTATTATTATTGCAGTATATATCAATATGTAATGGACATATAACCGTGGTATTGGGATCGTTCTATAAATAATTATTGTTAATAAATAATTTAATAATTCATTAACAGAACAAATACCTCGGTTTCGGCATCTTTCGTAAAACTAAATTTCGACATAATAGACTGTATGCCATCCGAAATTCGTCTTCTTACCGGACTTATAACTAGATTACTTTCAGAAGTTGGTGTCATATCGCCTCCCTAAAAATAATACTTATAAATATTCTAAAAATTTAATATATATAATATATCTTACAGGTTCTATCCGAGTAGCTTTAACTCTAAATTTTAATATTACATCAACGAGTTTTTTGTTTCCCAACAGGCTAGCCACATACAGTATGTTTTGTCCGGTTGCGTCGCGTTCGTTTATATCGAAGGGCATATGGTACTCCCATTGCTCTGTAGTGTCCCTAAAATATTTGTTTTTACAAAATAAACGTAAATGTATAGAAACATTTAAACTCCCAGTAAAAACGAACTAATTAACGTTACAAAATTGGGACATAACTAGAGAAACTTTTTTTAGTAGGGCAGTACTTGTCCTCAAGTGCATCTAAATGTAAATTTTTAAAGATACAAAAAATAATTTTTTTACTTTTTTGTTCAAATAAAGAAATTTTTTTGTCTGACTTTAAAGCAGGTGGTTTTCAAAAATAAATAATTATTATATTTTCTAAAAATCTTAGATATTTATTTACTCTGGAATCCATCATGCAAGTCAAAACAAACTTTATTGTTTTCCAGTTTTTTTGAAAGGCCAACTGGCAATCCTGTGTACCAAAAAGTATGACTGCACTTAAAAGAAAAATTAACTTTATTATATAATATATGTTAAAGATAATTATATAATATATAATATAAGAAGGTCTGTCGAAACGGTCCTCAGTCGCTGCTTGCACCTGATTGGCCACACATCGTGGCTAATCAGAGCACGACTGAGGTCCGCTCGGCTATAAAAGAAACGACGCGAGTCGTTTCAAATCAGTCTCGATCGAGCTTTCATCGAGTAAGCTACCAGTCCTCCTGGTAACTAAGTGGCAAACCGTCAACTTGAACTTACCTACTGTTTTTATTCATCGACCTGAACCCAGCCAGCAGTTCCTGCCCAAGCCCTGGTGAACAGGCACAATTTGTTCTTGTCAGAACAAACCAGCGTCGAAGACCGAGGCAGTCACCAGGTGATCCGCCGAAGCGATCCTGTCCAAGTCCTGAGTGTAGGCACCAATAGTTCTTGTTAGGACTACAACGTTGAAGAAGACGTCCAGAGCCCCAGGTCCCTGTCATCGGCAGTGGCCGTTTGGTCAGCATCCGGACGTCACAGCTTCCAGCGGGGCCGATCCCTGGCCCCCATTAGGGCCGCTTCCAGGCCAACGAGTGGGCCGTTCCCAGGCCAGCGAGTGGGCCGTTCCCAGGCCGGCATCAGGGCCGATCCCAGGCCAGCATCAGGGCCGATCCCAGGTCAACCGCAGGGCCGATCCCAGGCCTGCTTCAGGGCCGATCCCAGGCCTGCTTCAGGGCCGTTCCCAGGCCAGCTACCGGGCCGATCCCAGGTCATCCGCAGGGCCGATCCCAGGCCTGCTTTAGGGCCGTTCCCAGGCCAGCTACCGGGCCGTTCCCAGGCCCCTGTAGGGCCGATCCAGGCCATCCATTGAGGCGACGCTGTCCATGGTGACCACCCGCAGCCAAGCCGCGATGACCGACGCCACGGGCCAGGACCCGACCCACCAGGTGGATCCAGAGGTGGAAGACTTCCACCAGGCCGAAGATTCCTTCGAGGAGGATGTCATTCTGGATCCCCAGGCTGCCTTTGTAAATGGTCAGCCCCTTACGCCATCAGACACCACCACGATCCTCGAGGACCAACCCGGAAGAATACCGGCACCAGGGCCGGTGTCTTCCATGCTACAACCGGACCTGGAGGTCCGCGTACAACAGGTCAGAACTTAAAATTGTTGCTGTGAACTTCTTACATTGTGTAGCCCCACTAACCCGATGTTTTCAAATAAAATGATCCCAACGCCCATTTTTTTCGAGTAACAAGTTCATAGTAATGCCAGCAATGTGAAACTCTCACCATCTTGGTGAAAGTAACTAACTAACGAAGCTATTTATAACATTCGTAATAATCATGTAAGCTCCTATACGCACACATTTTTATGATCACCACGAACTCACAGTGAGGTCACTTCACATACTTCTATACTGGAAGTATGTGGGACACTTGTGATTGTTGAAGGTATTCAAAATCCGAACCACTCGGATGTATAAATGTGAAATACATTCAACTTAAAAATGAATAATATTGATATTAATAGTAATAATTGTATAAATAAAATAACAATTTTGATTCATCAAAATTTTTTCAATGCAATCCTCTTAAATTATGATGCGATGCGATGCAGCGTCAGTAATCATATAACTGTGTGCTCACATATGTGATTCACTTGATGTTTATGTTGAATATCACAAATGTTATCTGGGTTGTTTAACTAAAAATTGTTGCTTTTCCTTAAAAACTAATATACTGAAAAATTACCCTACTTATATTTATACTTTTATGTATACTAGGGTGGGGCTTATTGTGCCATTATATATAATTAAATAAATCCGTATAGAATGTAATTCTCTGGATTTTTTAAAAATAAATGAAATTTCTTTCTTTCTTTATTTTTGCCAAGTATTTTGTACAGTGTTTTATTCCCATTTTTCTTAAAAGCATAATAATTAATAAATTTATTTATTTATAAATAAGTTATTTAAAATAACGTAAAAAAATGCTCCTTTTATTAAAACGTGTGTTTGTTTTATTTTTCCTGGGCCCGGGGAAAACAAAAAAACAGGTTTTTCCAATTTTTCTGTTTAAAATGCTAGTATATGCTAGCTATAGGTGTATATACACATACAAAATTAAATACCTACTCCATTCATCTCACCTGTAGAGTCAATGGAAAAACAGATTTTTTTTTTGAAAATCTTTACCCCTTAATATATAATATATGCTTAATGTATGTCACACATTTTTTATATTTTTCGTTGACAATAAAGTAAATAATATTTTCTAAATATAATTATCCCGAGGATTATCCCAAATACATAGCTTGAAAACAAAATATGCAACCATGTTTATAAATTTAATTTGGCTCTATTATTTATATTTAATTTATTTTAAAGAACAATTAAAATAAATATAGTAAATATTTAATATACTGCACAATCCCCGTTTATTTTCTATAGAAATCTTCGCGTCTGATTTTTTATTTACCTGAATTTTCGTAGAATGTGGGACGGGTAAGGAAAATAAAAAAGCAGCTCTAATACGACAACGTGTCCGTTGATGCAACACGCGTGTATGGGAAGCCATCGCTCTACAGTGTGTTGCTAAAATTAACAAATACACATACAAAATATATATCAATTAAAACAAAGCTACCTACTTGAACTAACTCGGGAAATTTCATTAGCAATAATTCGACAATTTCCTGGTGTCCATGGTAGCAAGCAATGTATAATGGCGAGTATTTGGTTACTGAATGGCATCTACCATCAGCGCCGTAGTCCAGCAACAATTTCACAATATCTTTATTGCCTACCTGGCAAGCACTAAAACAAAAATATGAAATGCATTTTTAAATATTAAATTTTACGAAAGGCAACTTAGTTCAATAATAATAATAATAATAATAATAATAATATTTATTGGTACAAAGATCATAATTTCTATTATATTAGTATATAAGACAAGACAATACTAAATTAAAAAAAAAAGTATAACACTTTCTAACTATAACTTAATAATAAAAAAGGAAAGAAAACTATGTTAATTCGATGCATCTCATCTTCATTTAAGAACTCACCCACGCAATAATATGCTTTCTCAAGCAAAAATAGTTTGAAGTTAAACTTAAATAAATTTAAAGATTGCATTTTCCAATTTATTGTATAATAATGCATCAATGTAAAATTGATTCGACTTAAATAGTTCCAATAACTTCATTCTAAGTTACAGGGTGTCCCGATATTGTAAGCATAAAATTTAAAAAAAAAATGTGTTGACAAGTAGTTTTCAAATTATGATGCATTTAAGTTTAAGAAACTCGGCAACGTTGTTTAAGCCAATTTTTAAAAGTGTTTAAAACATTGTTTTTTCTACTTCTATTACGCAATAGTCCTAATATTACTTGTTAATGTAGAATTACCTACATTCATAAGGTGTTACAGAATATTCATTACTGGTTTCAGTGTAATAATAATTTCTACCCATCGGGTTGGGTTATTCCAAAATCATCATAGTCGTACATCATATAAAATCTAACATATGTCAATCCTCACTTTTTCGTTCTTGTTTATTTTTTTGCATAGACAGTATAGCACTGAACAAGTCAAAATTATTGCGTTTGATGTACCGTACAGTGGCGTAGCAGTTTCAAAGGAAATTTAAGAAAATATTTTAACTGAATAATTGAGTATTATAATTGTTATAGATTGATAAAATTTAAATTTGTACTTACTTAATTGTATATTGACTACTAACTAATCCAATATTTAATTATTAGTAAAATAAAAATCATGTCGGCAAAATTGCAAGGGACGCCAACGACTAAAAACACTTAGAGGTAAAGGTACTTATTTGGGTTGCTGTATTTTTCACCACAACTATGCACATTTTTACCATTTTAAGTTATATTCGTAAAAAACCCGACTAAAAACAATATAAAACACCAAATAACTGTCGAATTACATCTTGAAGCCACAAATTGTGTTTTTTTGCACGTCCAGTGTTATATGGTCTAAGGTTTGTTTTAATAATTTTCATAAACTTAGAAAAAGAATAGTCTGAAACACGTTTGGAATTGCCTATTTTGCTTTCTTGAAATATGCTGTATTTCAAACTTGTTACAGAATATTACTAGTATAATACGGTATAATACTAATATATTCTTTAATATAAATAAATAAGCTAAAGAAGCATCGGGTTTTCGCAACGCGCGCGCCATCTGGTGGTGTTCGATAGCATTGTGTGAATTGTCAACAATACATTTAAAGCATTCAAACTATTATTCCTTATATCATTGATTAAAAAACTTAAGGCTTATATAGTTATGTTAGTGTGTCTATTTTATTCAAGTGATCATGGTGAATTATTGTGTTTTTAATTGTAAAAAAAATTCAAAAACTAAATCGTTGCATTTTCATGTTTTTCCAAAGGATCCAATACGGTAAGTATATTTGTTAGTGCACAATTAACTAATGTCATTAGTCTAATGATAACTTTACCTAATGTAATTTATATTTAAGTTTGGACATTTTTAAGAAATCTAACAAAAAATAATTGTTGTACAAACATAACCTTAAAATAGAATATTTTAATATTTGAGTCCTCTAAAAAAACGCCGACAACTGCATTTTAAACGACAAAATATATCTACGAATTCATGGCAACATAATATTATATATAATACATAATAAAATACCGGTGTTTGGAATTTTACTGTTAAGTGGATCTGTATCTCTAAAAAAATAGAAAATTCGCTTTGAACTGAACATCCCAAAATGCTGCTGTATGTTCAAAAAATGAAAAACAATTTTATTCAAAAGGTCATACACAGTAATTAAAAATTAGTGAATTGAAAAGTAAGATTGTAACATATAACTTTAAATAATAATATTACCTTTACCTGTAATAAATTAGTCCCTAGATCAAAGGTTATATCGTCGAGTTACTGTAAGAACAATTTTTTAATTTTTTGACTTAAGTACATTTTTGAATTTATAAATGTTACTGCAAGGAGAAGACAACTCAACTACAAGCATAACCCAATCGGTTAATGAATTTCAAGCGCAAAAAAATGGTATTATCTGGTTTTTGCAGTAACCCGACGATATAATCTATGATAGGGAACTGTCAAAATCATTTCTAGAGAAACTGCGTTTTAAAACGGACAACATGGCACTAAGAACTGCGTTATGAAATTTACACCGGAATTCAAGATCCTTAATTTAAAAAATATCACGTATTGATCGGAACAATTTTTGTTAGTTGACATTAGTTCAAATTAAAGCACTTTTAACTTCCCCTCCTTAAAATAAAACGATCGTTTTAAAATTCAAAAGTTCAATAATTTGTTTATATATTTTATTATAATTAAAATGGGCCAATTTCTTTTTATATCTAAAAATCGAACGTGTTTAATTTCATTGACTAGTTTTAGACAACAAATTGTATAAAAAAAGTTTAAATAATTAAATGTTTAAATATCTTGTGTTCCATTAAAAACAATGCTTCTTGTATTTTATTTTTGATTTATAAACCATGCAAGATTTTTTTATTTAAATAAACATTTGTATATCCTTCTTACAAAAGTAGGTCACTTATATAAATTTCAGTTATTTTCATTTCTTGGATTGTGACTTAAAATGTTGATGATTTTTCAACAAAACTACAACTGAGAATTAGGAATGGATTTTCTTTATGAATAATAATATTCTTTAAAATATTTTCAATCTTATCGAATAAAATATTCTTACGTAAACAATAGTGTATTAGCACCACTGGGTGCCATATTAACGATGAGTTCAGCATCGTCACCTAGGGAGGAAATAAGTTGCTGTGCAGAATTCGCGTCACCGTGGCTACAAGCATCCCGGATGGCTGCGTGAAGATCCAGTCTGGCTTTCTCTTTTTCATCTGAAAGATAACACACAATAAAAATTAAACAAAAAACAAAAAAAGAGACTTGGCAGTAGTCAGTTTTAAAATAAACCATATTAATACACAAAGATAGGTTATCAAGGTACCAAGTATACAAGTCTTCAAAAATCCCCACAGGAGGTCGTCGCATGCAATTAGATCAGGCTATCTCGGCGGACAATTTTGGGAAACCCTTGTAAGAAGGTATAAAAAATTATCGACTGATTTTACCATTGTTAATATGATTCTCACCAGTGACGTATCAAATAAAGTCATTGTTTGTTTGAAGGTTGGTACCACAGATTGGTACCACAGATTACCTTCATTCAACAAACATCATTGTCTATAACGTTATAGACAATGATGTTTGTTGAATGAAGGAAGGCAAAGATAGTCCAAAACCTCATTCAAATAAAGTGATCTTAATTATGCATTACCATAAGTAAAGCAACAAAAAAGGCTATGTTAAAGCCAAAATTAAAGGCCTCAAAAATTAAACAAAAAGTGGGTAGATGATGTTTGTTGAATGAAGGAAGGCAAAGATAGTCCAAAACCTCATTCAAATAAAGTGATCTTAATTATGCATTACCATAAGTAAAGCAACAAAAAAGGCTATGTTAAAGCCAAAATTAAAGGCCTCAAAAATTAAACAAAAAGTGGGTAGTAACTGGTAATCTGTGTAGGGTAATGTGTTTTGGGCGTCCAAAAAAGACAGCTTCAGTAAACGAGTTAATTGATTATTTGATAAAAACCCATTTTCTAACTGCATTAAAGCCAACGAGTAAGGCAACTTCCCAGTATTCTTGGGATGGTAAGAAAATGGTTGCGAGAACAAGGTCTCGACTGACGAATTTTAATAAAGAGGCAAGAGTAGAATTTGCAAATAATTTTTTGAATGAACGATTGGGACAAAAATCATAAGTTAAATGAAAAATACCTGCATAAAATTATTAAAAGCGGAAAGTATTAGGTTTACTTGTGGGCGTAGATATCTTCAGCAGTGGCTGGTGGAATGCATATCCTAAAAGACCGATTAACTGGTAACGGATACTTGCGACATTTTGAATAATCTAATGCTTCCATTAATGCAAGAGAAATTTAATAACGATTTTATATTTTAATACCACTTTAAAAATACATTTGCATGATAATAAAACATTTTTATTTTTTAGGATAACTCGCCAGTTCACACTGCTCATGTGGTTATTAATTATAAAAAACATATTAATTTAAACCAAGAAATAGAGAGTAGCTAATTAATGCCATTGGAGGAAAATTACAATATGCAAAATTTAATAATTAAATTTTATAACAAAATGTAGGTTCTACCAAATATTCATTCTTTTTTTAATATAAAATTAATAGCTTTAAATTTATTTTTTTCCGGTCGACAATGAACTTAGTGTTTTTTTTAATAAAGTGTTTTTTTACTTTTTTTATTAAAGAATTAAATATGAACTCATGAGGTACCTACTCCAATGATTTTTTTAAGAAATTTTATTGTCAAAAAATTTAATTGACAGCGTAAAAATCCCAATTTACAACAGCCGATTAAAAAAACCTACCTACTTGATAAGTTTTTGTTTTCGCCTCAATAGTAGCATAGTGGAGTAACTGGCAATGTTGAATTTTAAGTTTTGTTAATAATAATTTTGTTTATAAAACATCGTCAGCATAAAGTAACTATGCAGAATACGAATTGGATGATATAATTATTGGTGTAAACAATATTAAAAATATGTATTTGTTGAAAACATGTTTACCAAAAGTATTTGGTGGTGAACGAGTTTTAAAAATGGTTTTAATTCGACTTACAATGTATGTATGTCCCCTCCGTGTTTTTTTGAAAATCTCTCAGATAATTAATATTTTGGATTAAAGCCCTATTTTATTTTCTATATTGTAAGGTCAAGTTTTTTGCTGATTTTTTCTTAGTATACCCGCTAGCCGTCAAAACACTATTATAATAGTGAAAATACAAATTTTAACTTTTTAACGCCATATAAATTACCTTATGAATTGTTTGGTAATTACATAGATACACAAAGTAACAAGTATAGGATTTCTTAATTTTGAGGATAATAAACTTTAAAATTATTTTAAATAACTGTTTGTAAATGCAAAATAATTAAATTGAAGGTTAAAGGTAAACAAAGTCAATTAAAGCGTCTATTAAAGTTATTTCCATAAACAATAGGCATTTAATTAATAAAAATACAATAAGTAGTTAAAAATACAGTTTACTTTAAAAATTAAATTATAGAGACTCACTCTTATGTACTGTGATAAATTTGAGGAGCATTTAAAAAAATCATTTTCGAACTTTTCGTGAAACATTTTTTTTATATTCTATTTAACATTAGTCCAGTCAAAAATTAATTTTCAAAACCAAATTTGCACCACCTGATATTTTTTTTGCAAAGATATACGCAAAAGAAAATCTTTTTAGTTTTTAGAGAATATCTCGTCCCCTGTAAAAAAGGCAAATTATTTGTTATAAATTATAGTATATAGTATAGTATAGTCGAAGAAAAAAGTTGTTTTGTCTTTTGTTTTTTTTCACTTTTTTATAAATATTTCGCAAGCGATGCATTATAAATTATTACAATACACATTTTTATAGTCCTCTTAATTTTCTACAATTTAAAAAAATAGAGCTCGGTACGACTACCGAAAGCCGAACGATCAACGAGTGAACAAGGCCGCGCTCGTACACCCACAAAAACGCTTTTTCTCACCAGTAAAGAGACTGTGGTTGTGCTTTTTTTAGTGGTTGGTCTGATGGGATTGTCATTACAGGCTTAAGTTTCTAGCCCCACTCTTAGACCTAAAACATTCAAGTCAAAAGTTCTTAAACATAGAAGAAATAAATATATTTTGACATGGATTAGGCCTACCGGGGATACCCCGATCTTAAAAACGCGCCTGATAATCTTCTTCCAGCGCGCTGCAGCGTGTTGAAAAAAGCATTATTGTGGTTGTACGAGCCTGTGGATTGGTCGGCTCTCGTTGGTCGCACCGAGCTCTATTTTTTTTAATTGTAGAAATTTCAGAGTGCTACAAAATGTTTATCGTAATAAATTATTATTATACAGTTTAATTAACTACGCCACCGAATACACACGTGTGTCAAGTGATTAGTGAATAAAACTATTAAAAAAAGCTATATAATGGAGACTAGCGACCAGGGCGGTAGCGACGGACTCAGGGGCCCCGGTGCAAAACTTTTCAGGGGCCCTCGATTTTAAAACTTTATGTTTAAAAGTAGAACTTGCCTTCGCATTATTATTATATGGTAATGAAATAACATGAAATATAATGGATTTTTCATAAAGAGTTTACATTTACATTCACGCTCGTAATTTACATTTCAGAATTATAATACTATATCTTATTACTCTACTACTAAACATATTTCACATATTTTGTGACAGTACTACATTTATTCTTTTACAGACAAATTTTTCCATTACCAGTGATTTTTATTATTACATAGGTATACTGTTGAATATTATATGATGTGGCTATCATGAGATGTCACTACTTTTTACGAAGACTAATGGAATCACATCTTTTAATGAAACTAAAAGTACACAAAACAGCAAATATGAGCAGGGGCTCTCACATATTTGATGTTTTGTTTTTTAAAACGATTTCTTTCTCAATTTCATCGCTGCAAAATCATTGATAGGTTTCGTGAAATCAATTTTTTATTATAATGTTAAATATCAATAATTATTTATAATTTTATTTTATTTATATATTTTTAAAATATTGTTTTATATTAACATAATTTTTTATTTATAATTATGGCACAAACGGCGCCTCATAAAAAAACGTTGAAATGAAAAAAAAATCTGTTTCCCATAAGAAAACAATCATGCGCATAAAATAGTCATGATAATATTTCAATATTAATTAATTTCATTTACCGTAAAATCCATCGGTTGGTTTGTCAGGTGCGGTGTTCGCATCTTGATTGATACTGAACCATGAAGTCAGTTTTTTTGTATTTTCGACACTTGCACTTTCTTTACGCTTTTTCTCAGCCCTTTTTTGATGACCGCTTGAATATGTACGTTTCATTTTGTTTCAATCGATTTCAAACATCAAACGTCCACGAAGAAAACAAGAATCGTGAATACCTATTGTTTTTATGTGAAGTTAGCATCGCTTTCGAAACCCAGCAGTGTGAGTAATTCATACATGTGCGCATGCGCACATGTGTGGTTTTTGAAATAAAGGAGATTAAAACGGATCTCCTGCAGGATATCGATTTTTATCGATAGGATAGGATAGGATATCGAAAATTACGATTTTTTAGTAAAACTTTTTAGTTTTGGGGGCCCCTTTGAGGTCTGGGGCCCTGGTGCACCGCACCGCCTGCACCAGCCTCGCTACGGCCCTGCTAGCGACGGAGAAAATGAGTCGGATCATGGAAACGAAAGTCAGCATGTAAAAGATAGAGGTAAAAGAAGAATAGAAAGCCCTGAGGCTGAATTAATTGGTTTTCAATACGGTAAACCAATATTAAGACAAGCCAAAAAACGAAATTCAAATCAACAAAAAACGAATTCATCGATACATGAAAATAATCCAGCAAAAAACGATACACAACAATCTACTTCTCAAACCAACCAAAAAACAATAAACAAGACGTCATTCAACTACTCCGAAAAAATGCTCGCATTTAAAAACAAAACATATAAAAATACCTTTTATTTAACAACACATGAAGAGATTACAAGAATCCAATTTTCTGATAAATGGCAAGATATTTTTCCAAGCTCGCAAGATGTTATAATAAAAACAAAAAATGGCTTTATACTTAAATCCGACAACAACAAGGAGGTACTGTCATCTACATTTAAAGTTCTGTCAGAAAACAATCTGATTAAAACATTCAATGTTTCTACACCTCCACCAAAAGCTACAGAAAACATTCCCAATGCCTCATTTTCAGTTGTAATATCAGCCGTGGAAAACGAAATTGATGA